GAATTGATGCTTTTGAACTGTGGTGTTGGGGAAGACTCTTGAGAGTCCCTTGGACTGCAAGGAGATCCAACCAGTCCATCCTAAAGGAGCTCAATCCTGGGTGTTCATTGGAAGGACTGATGCTGAAGCTGAAACTCCAGTACTCTGGCCACCTCATGGGAAGAGTTGACTCATTGGAAAAGACCCTGATTCTGGGAGGGATTGGGGGCAGGAGGAGAAGGGGCCGATAGAGGATGAGATGACTGGATGGCATCACCGATTTGATGGACATGAGTTTGAGTAAACTCTGGGAGTTGGTGGTGGACAGGGAAGCCTGGTGTGCTGTAGTCCATGGGGTCGCAAGGAGTTGGACACAACTGAGCAACTGAACTGAACTATATATATATAGTTTATTTGGTTTAATTTGTCATTTAAGGTCAGTGTTTCCTTGCTGATTTTCTGTCTGGATGATATGTCCATTGATGTAAGTGGGTTGGAGTGTTAAAGCCCCCTACTACTTTAGTATTATTGTCCAGTTCTCCCTTTGTGCCTATTCTCCCTTTATACTTTAATATTTGCTACACATATATAGGTGCTCTGACATTAGGTGCATATTTATTTACAATTGAATTGACCCCTTGATCAATATGTTAAGTCCTTTTCTGTCTTTAAAGTCTACTTTGTCTGATTTATTTTATTTTGTCTGATACAAATATTGCTACCGCAGCTTTCTTTTGATTTCTATCTGCATGTAATACTTTTTACCTGCATAAGAAATGTTTAAAGCTAGCAGAGGCTTAATTCATGAGGCTTAATGAAAAAAGTTGTCTCTATAACATAAAAGTGCAAAGTAAAGCAGCAAGGCTGACGGAGCAGCTGCAGTGAGTTGGCTACATGAAACAAATGACTTTCAACATAGACAAAATATACTTATATAAGAGGCAGAAGCTATGCAGGGCTTTCATACCTAGGGAGGAAAAGTCAGTACCTGACTTCAAAGCTTCTCTTATTAGAAACTTATGCCATCTTGTGACTTGGAGATGAAACCAGTGCTTATTTACAATTCCAAGAACCCTAGGGCCCTTAAGAATTAAGCTCAATCTACTCTGCCTGTACTGTATCAATGGAACAATGATGCCTGGATGATAGTACATGGTCTCCACCAAGGTTTACTATTTTAAAACCCATTGTTGAGACTTACTACTCAAAAGAAAAGATTTTTTTCTAAACGGGACTGCTCACTGACAATGGACCTTCTCACTCCAGAGCTCTGATGAAGATATACAAGATTAGTGTTGTTTTCATGCCTGCTAACACAACATCCACTCTGCAATCCATGGATCAAGGAATAATTTTTCCTTTCAAGTCTTCCTGTTTAAGAAATACATTTCATAAGGCTGTAGCTGTCATAGGTAGTGATTCCTCTGATGGATCTAGGCAAAGTCAATTAAAAATCTTCTAGAAAGAGTTCACCATTCTAGATGCCATTAAGAACATTTGTGATTCATTAGAAGAGGTCAAAATATCAACATACACAGAAGTTTGGAAGAAGTTGATTTCAACTTTTCATGGATGACTTTGAGGGGTTCAAGACTGCAGAGGAGGAAGTAACTGCAGATGTGGTAGAAATAGCAAGAGAACTAGAATTAAAAGTGGATACTGAAGATATGACCTGCAGAATTGCTGCCTTCTCATGATAAAGTGTTAACAGATGAGGAGCTGTTCTTAAAGATCAGCAAAGAAAGTGGCTTCTTGAGATGGAATCTATTCCTGGTGAAGACTGAAGTGGCAACAAAGAATTTAGAATACTAGGAAAACTTAGTTGATAAAGGAGCAGCAAATTGGGATAAAATCCAATTTTAAAAGAAGTTCTGCTGTGGGTTAATGCTATCAAACAGCACTGCATGCAACAGTGAAAAAGTGTGAAAGAGTGTGTGTAGCTAATTTCACTGTCTTATTTTAAGAAACTGCTACAGCCACACCAACCGTCAACAACTACTACCTTGATCAATCAGTAGCCTATTATAAATATAGAGGCAAGACACTCCAAGAGCAAAAAGGTTATGACTCACTGAGGGCTTACATTTTTTAGCAATAAAGTATTTCTAATTAAGGTATGTACATTTTTTACACATAATGTTATTGCACATTTCATAGACTAAAGCACAGTGTAAACATAACTTTTACGTGCACTAGGAACCAAAAACTTCACGTGACTCACCCTATTGCGATGTTTGCTTTATTGCAGTAGTATGAAATCAAACATGCAGCATCTCTGAGGACTCCCTGTACTCCCACATATGAGCCATATCATATATCATCAATAATTAATTACTGATAATGGTTGTATAATGTAGTTATACAGTCCCACAGTTTGGCTATATCAAAATTAATTCAACCATTTTCTCATTGTTGGATATTTAAGGTGGTTTCTACAACTCTGATTTTACATACAGACTGCAACATCTCCAAATAGTCCTTTTATAATATGATTTTTATTTCACTCAGGTTTCTGAGAGTGAAGTGTTAAATAAACAGCAGGTGCACTTTAAATCTTAATAACATTGCCAGATTCTTTTCTCCAAAGTTTGTAATAATTATTACACCACCTACAGTGTATGAGAATACCCTATTTTCCATGCCTTCAACATTACTGGATATTGTCATTCTCTAATTTCTGCCAAGGTAACTAATGAGAAATAATTTCATTGTTTTTATTAGTAATTCTTGCCTTTTAATATATGTTTATTGGCTATTTGTATATCTTCTTCTTTGAGCCATAAATTCCTAATCATTCTCTCTAAAATGGATAGATAACAGGACAATCTTTCACTACTAATTTATACTGTGTCAACTATAAATAGAGTCATTGGATTACATAATCTCAGGGGACAATACCCAAGGGCTGGCTCCCCCATTGGTGGGTGGAGGGTGAGGAAAAGGACAATGTGTGGTAGTCATATGGCTAGGTGAATTTTTAGTGATGGTGTTGGAGAAGGGGCTTCTAGAATGTGATGGGAAGAATCTACAGTCATGAATGCAGTTAAACACAAGTAGTATCTATAGGTTTAAAAAATTTGTCTTCTCTTGGTTTTTGCTGAGGTGCTTTGTTTTAAGGAGTTATTTCATATGAGAAGACAGTGAATATACTGGGTATATCTATATTTGCACTAATATAGTGACTATCTTTACACATTTACCTTAGTTGATAAGCACAATATTTATAAAGGCTAGAATCCAGTATAGCAACTTTCTGAATTAAAAGATTTTGCTAGAAACAAATGCAAAGATCTCTCCTAGGTTTGGGGACGCTGTCAAATATTCCTTAAATGGGCTACATAGGAATAAGCTATCAAAATAAAATAAGGACCTATGACTACGAAGATGGGTTAATAAATACCAGCTTCCTAAACACAGTAAATGTTTTGCTGAACATCTTACTTCAATGACCTATACCTCTAGAATAACGAAATAATAAAAAACCAATAAACTAATTGTGAATTGTTTGGATCTTAATTTTAATAGAATGCCTTCAATGTGTCACTGTCAAATATTAAGGCAGCAATTGACTTACCCTTATTTAGAAAAAGAAAAATCAAGGTGTTTTTTTCCTTTTTAAATCAAGCACAGATTTTGGAATCCTAAATTTCTTAAATTTAAAAAAATTTAAGAAAATCTTAAAAAATCTTAAGTTTTTTAGCTCCTATTGAGATAATTACATGGGTTTTATTGGACCTGTCCAAATAATGTTATACTGATACATTTACTTACAATTAGACTTAATTTACTAATGTTTTATTTGGGATTTTTCAAATTAATGTTCCTTAGTGCAAAGTTAATACTTTTCTTCCCTTTTATTCTGTCAAGGTTTGACACCCTATGGCTCAGTGGTGAAAAATCCACCTGCCAAGCAGGAGATGTAAGTTCAATTCCTGGAGAAGGAAATAGCAATTCACTCCAATATTCTTGCCTGGGAAATCCCATGGACAGAGGAGCCTGGCGGACTACAGTCCCTGGGGTTGCAAAGAGTCAGACACGACTTAACAACAACAACAGTAGTACTAGCTTTATACATTGGATAAATTATGCTTAATTAGAGATATCATTTATTGAACACTTTTAACATCATTTTTACACACTTCTCATATAAATTTCATGCTAATTACATGATATTTCTTTTTTTATTTTTTTTTAGTTTTTTCCATTTATTTTTTAGTTGGAGGCTAATTACCATACAATATTGTAGTGGTTTTTGCCATACATTGACATGAATCAGCCATGGATTTACATGTGTTCCCCATCCCGATCCCCGCTCCCGCCTCCCTCTCCATCCCATCCCTCTGGGTCTTCCCAGTGCACCAGCCCTGAGCACTTGTCTCACGCATCCAACATGATATTTCTTATCTCTATTTCAGAGTCAGTGCAACTAAGTCCCACAGGTTCAAAACTTCCCTAAGGTCACCCAATCACCCAATGACAGTGCCTGCATTTCAAAGCAGGTACAATACTAATAACTGATATAATACCTGATATCTCTGTCAACATTCTACAAGTACTACTGGAATTAGGAGCTGCCTGAAAAATGGGGGGAGGAGGGCAATCATATATAAGTGAAATCATAATGATTTTTAGAAACAACGCTGTGAATAACAATTTCTTCCATAGTTATTCAGTTTTAGATTTCTTGAATCTGTATAGGAAGTTCGAATTTTACATAAAATCATATATTTCTCATTTTTGGCACCTACTTCTAAGCAACTAAGAAAGCATTTCAGAAACAAGAGATGGAAGCTCACCTTGACTCTGAGCCAGATGAAGGATTTTCGATGTGACATGTCTGGCGGTATCTGACTCTGCAGATTCAGCACTGAGCTTTTCCAGCTGAGCCAGGAGTCCCACAACCCTAGAGCTGTTAGCAAGGCTAAAAAGAGCGTTACTTTAAGTTAGGGCACATTCTACACCAACTGTAAGTTCAATACTATGAAGATCAGCTGTTAAATCAAAATACTACCCTTATAAAAACATTAAGCATTTACACATGTCACATATCCTCACTCTGTTTTAGAGCTTAATATTGCAAACATTCAGTTGATATAAGAGAGAAACATTCTATTTCAAAAAACCATGAAGGTGCATTCAACCCTGCCAAGCAGTCTTCCATCACATCCTGAAAGTTTACCTTTCCAGTCCCCCCACAAGCACACTTCTTACACATTCTGTGCTCTCCTCAGACTCTAACCATCCCTTCTACCCGACTCCACTTTTCAGTTAGCACCCTGCTTCACAACTATTATAAAGTCAAAGAAGAAAATACTTATCTTCACACAGCCAGCACCTTAAACCTCTCTGATTCTCTTCCCACATTCTTTCTTCCTTATTCTCATTCATTATACATTTGTACCATTTGTACCGTTTGACAGTACCATTCCAGATATTGTCAACAGGAAATAAAACAAACAAAAATTACTGCCCCTCAGAATGAACGTTCTAATGAGACAAAGTAAATATCTAAATAACTATATAAATAGTATTAAGGTGGTGGGAAGCACTATGGAGAAAAGCAGATTGTGGGGATAAAAGGGGCAAGGAGGTAGATGGCTGCAATTTTGGACCACGTAGTCAGGAAAAACCTTGAGAGGGCACCGTTTAGGGAAAGGCCTGAAAGGAGTAAGATAATGAACGGTGCAGATACCCACAGGAAGAGGAGTCACATCATCAAATCACCAGGGCAGGACCAGGCCTGCTGTGTTCAATTAAGAACAGCAGCAGACTTAAGAGTTGGGGGTGACGTAGAAGACAGCACCGTCATTCAGAGCCTGGTGGGCCACTGTAACGATGCTGACTTCTTTCAACTAAATGAGACGGGAAGTTTTTGAGAAGAGTGATGTGATCTGACTTGCTTTTAAAAGGCTTTCTTTAGCTGCTATGTTGAGACTCAAAGAACAATTCCTCCACTTGCATGCCTAACCCCGGCCCTTCTTGCATTTCTAGCGTATCTGCTCCTCTTCTCTTCACTCTCCCTACTCTACTGCCCCAAGCAACCTCATGCAACCCCACAGCTGCAAAATCAATACGCTGCCCAGCTCCTACATTTAACTCCAGCCTCAACCTACTCCTCTTAGATTGTAACTTTCCCAAACTCACATAAATCATCAGTTGCTCAAGACAAAAGTCCAGATTCCCACACTCAACTATCAGTTCCATCTCTGAACACCTCAAACCCATCCACTTCTCTCCATATATTATCATTATTACTACCCAAGTCCAAGCAATCATTTCTCACTCAGCAATTACAGCATCCTAAATAATGTGCTTTCATTCTTGCTGCCTCATACACTGGGATCCAGATGCACTGGCCTTCTGTTAGTTCCTTCAACGTAACAAGTTACTCCCCAATCTCAAAGTCTTTATATTTGCTGTCCTCTCAACCTAGACGATAATTTCTTCCATTTCTTCATATGGCTGGCTCATTCTCATTTCAGGTTACGACCGAAAGATGTCCCCACTTCTCCACCAGCCCCTCAAGCTTCCAATATTAAAATGTGCCCAGTGATGTAAGCTTCACAAAGGTAAAGATTTTGCATGTCTTTGTTTATATGCCCAGCATTTCAAATAGTAGCTAACACAGAATAGGTAATAACCAGCTATATTCAGAATGAATAAAAAATGGAGAAGCACATGGGGAAAAAAAGTATACTTATATATTTTTTAGATTAACAACTAGACTCAATGCTTTAAATTTGGAGGTACTTCACCTAAGAAGGTATCTAGAGGCTGAAAAAAAAATAATTGAGCCTATTTCAGAATGCAACTAATATACCATTTAAAGTAAAATAATACAATATTTCCAAATTCTGCAAATAGCCAGCATAGTATGGAAATGAAAATCATTATGTATAAATCTCTACATGAAAAAGCTCAAAATATGTACAGTATGATATTAACATGAATTTTTAAAATATATGAATTCAATGCAATATATTCTTTAGTGTGTGTGCATATAAATATACTTTTCCCTACTCAATGATGGGATTATCAATATGCATGTCTATCTTTATTTTCTGTAAACTGGCAGTTGAATTTAAAAGCCTAATCTGATCAAGGCCTAATTTGGTGTCATGAATTCTTTATAAGGGGTACTACAATCTTCCATAAGGAGGCAAATAGGGTCTACTTATCGTAGTTTTGTACGATAAGCAGTCACTGGTTACCACTACCTAGATCCATTACTTTATTAGGGGTTGAAAAACAGTGATATATCATTCTTTCTACTTCTTAACAAGGACAACTCCATAAAAAGAAAAATCCATTATTTAATCATCCAGAGGTATAATTCATCAAATAAAAGCAAAATAAATGCTAGATTTTATCTATATTTACCAGTTTTCAGAAGAATGTTTCAAAAAATCCTCCCAATCAATGAAGTATTTTGATTTCATGTATCAATATTACTCATAGATTAAGACATATATGACACATTTTATCCATTATAGCTATTAATGCTCAAATTGCCCCATCTTTGATCAGTGGGAGACTCCTCATGTGGACTCCCCAGGCCCTCCTGTTATGATCCCAGTCTTTGATAGCTTCCTGGCTTTCTGATAAGACAAGACTCTTACTGGCCAGCAGTTCTCATTGTGCGCCACAAAGCTCTGAGTACTTGAGATTCTCAGAAAATCTGCAGGGTCAAAAACTATTTTCATAAAAATACTAAGACACTATTCACCTTTGACATAGTGTTGACATTTGCATTGTTAGTCTGAAGGCAAAGGTGGATAAAGGGTTGGCACATGATATAATCAAGACAGTGACACCAAATTATAGTCACTGTGTAATCACTAGAAGTCACTGTGCTCTTCACCAATATACATTCACAGTTAAAAGCAAAAATCCTAGTTTCACCTATGAGTACACATCTTTTTAACATTCTGTGTGCACTTTAAGATATTTCAGCTACACAGTGAAATATGTTGGGGGAAAACACTTGCGTAATTATTTAAATTGCAAGCTGAACAAGTTACTTTTTTCACAGAACATCATTTTTACTTTAAAAAAAACTGACAATGATTATTCAGGCTGGGGTGTTTTGGCATACATTTTCTTGGAAATAAACAAAATGAGTATCATTTCAAGGAAACAGTTGATAAATTTGTTACCAATGATTAAATCTGAACATTCAAGAAAAAAGCAGAATTTTGGAAAACAAAGATCTACTATCATGACATCGACAGCTTCCCCTACTTAAAAAATTTCATGATACAATCAATGGTGATATTAATAAATATAATTTTTAGAAACTGTGTAATAAAGTGTGTCAATATTCAGATATCTGCATAATTTATATGCAGAGTACATCATGCAAAACACCAGGCTAGATGAATCACAAGTTTGAATGAAGACTACTGGGAGAAATATCAACAACCTCAGATATGCAGATGATACCATTCTAATGGAAGAAAGTGAAGAGGAACTGAAGAGTATCCTGATGAGAGTGAAAGAGGAGAGTGAAAAAGCTGTCTTGAAACTCAACATTCAAAAAACTAAGATCATGGCATCCAGTTCCATTACTTCATGGCAAATAGAAGGGGAAAAAATAGAAGTGGCAACGGATTTTATTGGGTTCCAAACTCACTGCAGATGGTGACTGCAGCCATGAAATTAAAAGATGCTTGCTCCATGGAAGGAAAGCTATGACAAAACTAGATAGTGTACTAAATAGCAAAGACATCACTTTGCCAACAAAGGTCCATATAGTCAAAGCTTCTCATGTACTAACATGAAAGTTGGATCATAAACAAGGCTGTGCACTAAAGAATTGATGCCTTCAAATTATGGTGCTGGAGAAGGCTCTTGAGAGTCCCTTGGACTGCAAGGAGATCAAATCAATTAATCCTAAAAGAAATCAACCCTTAATAGTCACTGGAAAGACTGATGCTGAAGCTGAAGCTCCAACACTCTGGCCACCTGATATGAAGAACCAACTCACTGGAAAAGACCCTGATGCTAGGAAAGACAAAGCAAAGGAGAGGAGGGCGGCAGACAATGTCCACTGACCGCTGACTCAATGTACATGAGTGTGAGCAAACTCCGGAAGACAGTGAAGGACAGGGAAGCCTGGCACGCTGCAGTCCGTGGGGTCACAGAGTCGGACGTGACTGAGCACAACAACATATATAATATGTATGCTGATATATATGATACACTGAATTCAGAAGCAGACAAGAGAATCCAGCTGTCTTCTGTTAAGCCAGACATTAAAGAAATGTGCAAAAATTTAACAAAACATTTCACTTTCTGTAATTAAAGACACCAGGATTCCAAACTGGGGACATAAATTCAATTCCTGGTAGGGAAACTGAGATCCCACATGCTGTGTAGCATGACCAAAAAATTAAAATAGAAAAAATTGAAAAAAAAAAAGTATTTTAAATGCCACCTTCTAACGATTTTGACAACTTACTCTAGTAAAAACTATTATCACATACAATAATAATAATGTTATAATGTAATGGGTTTTTTTAATGAAATAATATCTCAATTTTAATTTATAATATGGTAGTATTACTATATTACATATAATTATATTGATATAATATAAATGGCAACATTGATATTATATATACAATATGGTAAATATCAATAGATTAAATAGCCTACATCAACAAAAGCTTTTTGGAGTCTCCATCAATTTAAGAATACAAGGGGGTTCTTAGCCAAAGTTTGAGAACTCTTGTTCCAAGCTTTTCTTGTACATTTCGTGCTCTGATCTAGAATCAACCCTTTCTCCAAAAAGCCCTGGGGTTTTTTTTTGGTAAGAAATGGTATTAAGACACCAGAGTCTGAATACTAGAGAGCAAATACATCTTTAAAAACAATTCTATATCTTAGATGTAAGGGAAATTTGCATTATGGAAAGCAGAATTCTGAAATTTAATAATTAGGGGGCTCTTTGTTTGTTTTCTCCAATAATATTTCTCTTTAAGGTCATCTGTTAGCATTTTTCAGTAGATAATAAAACATCTACTATTAAAAATATCCAAACACATACAAAATACACTGATCATAACACATCTTCTGTTCCATTCCAAAGTGAGAGTTTTTTTTGTCAGTAACTCTTAAATTTTTAAATTACACCGCTACCAAAATAAAACAGCTTGCAATTAAGTGATTCTAAGAATCATGCTCTTAAAAATTACAGATGTATGCATGAATTTTTTGAAGGAAGGCAAACAAATGGAAATTAAGAACATAAGCAAACTGATTCCCCTATTTTTTACTTTTCTCACTGACAGAATAAAAACTGAACAAAATATTCCAAGCCATCTGGAACTCAACTCTAAAAATGTGAGGCTGTTGACACTAACGTTGAGAGAACTGTAGGGTGAACACCAGAGGGCAGTTCTACCTATTGAATGATTTTTTGTTTTGGTTTAATGTTTGTTTGGGGTCTTTGTGACCCCACGGACTATAGCCCACCAGGCTCTTCTGTCCACAGAATTCCCAGGCAAGAATACTGGATTGAGATGCCATTTCCTTCTCTGGGGATCTTCGTGACCCAGGGATTGAATCTGTGTCTCCTTCTTGGTAAGCAGATTCTTTACCACTGAGTCAATGATTTTTAGACTTTGGCAAATCCAAGCATAAAGGAGAAAAAACAAACAAGAAAGCTATACAGCTATTCAATGAACAATTTGAGCTACACAGCAAAGCAGAAAACTCTTAAATAAAAAGACTCAGATAAGAATTTATCTTCCCTCCCGTGCCCTATTTTTATGTGAATCAAAATGAGACCAAAGCCAACCTCGGGAGGTTACATTTATAACTGATAACGTTAATTACTTGATAGTTAGAATATTATGGAATTGAAAATATGACTGATGTGGAGTATATCAAATCAAGTTAACTTTCCAATGTATATTTTAAAGATAATATCACAAATATTTGTTTCACTGTAGTGGTCTCCGACTCCTTTTGATTCTTTGAGTTTACATACAGTCTTACAGCTATTTTCCTAAAAAAATAAATTTTTTATATGTTACAAAAATCTCAATGGTATATACATATTGTCCTGCAACAAATAATTCCCCAAGCAAGTGCAAGGGCTAAAGAAACTATCTTCACATTGCAAATAAATTTTATTACCTTCTCATAATAAAATGTAAATTGCATACAGGTAACAAACATGTCTTCATAAATAAGCTATAAACATCTGACAGCAAGAAATTCATTAAAATATACCAGAAGTTTTAAACTTATCAGTACTCTTAGTAAATAAGATTTAATTTCAAACAATATGGTGTTATTTCCAAAACATGCACATTATCTTTCAGAAATGGTTGTTCCTCATTTCTAACTCTTTATTTTTACTACTTTTGCTTTAATCACATTTTTATGGTTTCTAAATACTGAACACAAAACTTTTTCTTTTTTATTGAGCACAGGACAATGAAAAATGGAAATTTCACTATCATTCCTTTGTAGAAATAGTTATGTATGTAAGTTTAGAAAACGATATTCTAACTGGAAGAGAACAATAACTATTTCTCTAACTACTTCTTATAAAATAATTAAATGCAGTAAGGCACAGGTACTAAGCTAGACATCCTGATCAACAGAACAAAACTGAGTATAACAGATCTACACTTATACATATAACTGACTTTTGATACAGGTACAAAAGAAACTCAGTGGAGAAAGGATAGTCTTTCTAAAAATGGTGCTGAATAATCAGATATACATACGCCAAAAAAAATGTTCTATCCACACCTCACACCATATAAAAATTAACCCATCTAGGAGCATAGACCTAAATGTAAAATCTGAAACAATAAAAAACTGGAAGAAACATAAGAAAAAATATTGATAATATGGGTTATGCAAATATTTCTTAGATACAACTCTAAAAGCATAATCCATAAAAGAACAAATAAACAAATGAAAATCACCTAAATTTAAAACTTCTCATCTNAAAGCATAATCCATAAAAGAACAAATAAACAAATGAAAATCACCTAAATTTAAAACTTCTCATCTTAGAAGATACTATGTAAGAACTACCCTGGTGGTCCAGCAGTTAACAATCCACCTTTCAATGCAGGAGACTCAGGATTAAACCCTGGGCCAGGAACTAAGAACCCACAGGCCTCGGAGCAACTGAGGCCCACGCTACAACTAAAGAGTCATGTGACACAAGGAAAGATCCTGCATGATGCAACTAAGATCTGACGTAGCCAAGCAAATAAATAAATACTAAAGAGAGAGAGAGAAATGACAACCCACAGAAAGGGAGAAAATATGACGGAAAAAAAGTGCAACTGAAAGAAAATGCTTGAAATTCAAGTATCTGATAAACAACTTGAATCCATACAATAAAAAAAAAAAAAAACTAAAATTCAATTATTAAAACACTAACATTTCAAAAATTGGAAGATTTGGAAAGAGACATCACCAAAAAGATATGCTAAAAGATAATGCACCAAATAACTCATGAATTGATGTTCAACATCATCAGCCATTAGGGAAATGCAAATTAAAATCACAATGAGATATCAATATACCCCTACTAGAATGGCTACAATTTTAAAAGAATGATCATAAGAATTTAAAAAAGAATGACCATAACAAGTGTTGGTGAGAATACGTAAAACTTTCATACACTGTTGGAGAGACTATAACATGGTATTAATGTCTTTGTAAAACAGATCATTGTTAAGTTTCCTAAAAAGAAACACAGACCTACCACATGCTTCAACCATTCCATTCCTAGTTAATGAGCATGATAAGTATGTTCATTATTTTCATTGAGATAATGATTTAACCATTATACATAAGCCAAACTTATCAAACTATGTTTAGCTTGTTATAAGATGATTATATCTCAATAAAGCTGTTTAAAAATTCATAGGTGACCTTAACACATACTGTTGTTGTAGTGGATAAGGCAGGAACTAAACAAGAGTGATTGGAGAGTGTGAAATGAGATGTAGATTGCATTTATAGGCTATTTAAAATGTTTTGGCTCTTGAGGAAATCAGATAAATTGAGTAGTAACAGAACTGTACTGTACTGTGCTTCAGCTACCAGGGAAGCCCAGAAACAGAACAGCACAATCTAAATATGGGAAAGCCCAGATTGGTTTAAATGATATGCAATGGAGGAATTAAAGATTCAACAGAGAAAAATACTAATGATTAAAAGACCAAAAAAAGAGAGACATCCTTTGTAGCAGAAAGTAACAGGAGGGTAAGCAAAGGATAGAATCAAATAAAGGGGAGCAAGCAAATTTTGTGCAAGAAATATGAGGACAATAAATTGTATTATCTCTAAGATATCATAAGATTAGGTCAACTGATGAGAATATATATATATATACATCTGACAATTTCAAAGGTTTGAAAAGTATAAAACAATCATTCCAAAAATTGAGAAAATGAGCTTTATAGAGAACCAGAGTAGTTAAGATTGCTGGGCTCAGTTCAGGCTGATTATCAATCATCATTTTAGCAGTATCTTCTAAGTTAGTTCATACTCAGTAAAGGTCTATCCAGGAAAAAGACTGTCAGTTATGTGTGATGAAAAAATAAAAAGTGAGGAAAAAACATTTCAGAGTATTTGCAAGACTGGAATGATGAACAATGGATCCTACACTGGGTAAGAGAGGGGCTTCCCTGATAGCTCAGTTGGCAAAGAATCCAGCTGCAATGCAGGAGATTCTGGTTCGATTCCTGGGTTGGGAAGATCCCCTGGAGAAGGGAACGGCTACCTACTCGAGTATTCTAGCCTGGAGAATTCCGGACAATATAGTCCATGGAGTTTCAAAGAACTGGACACGACTAAGCGACTTTCACTTCACAAGAGAGGAAGTGATGATGAGTCAATAGATCAGAGCTCTGGATGAGGCAGAACTCTTGCAGTACAGACACTTGAACAAGAAATCTAGAAAGATAAAACTCTACATATCTCAAAATTTAACACTTCACTATATACTGGTTAAACCACTATACTGCATTTGTTCAGGTGTTCTCATCAGGTTACAAGCTTCATGTAGAAAGAGAATAGGGCTCATTTTACTTCTTTAGAACGTGCTCAACACTCATTTTCTGCAAAGCACTGCATTAAGTGTTATTTTTCTTTTCTACTCTCCCAGATTCAGCACTGAGTTAGGTACATAAACGTGTTTAATAGGTACTTCACAGTTGAGAAAAAAAATCTAAAGGGGGCAAAAAATAAACTAAAAAGAGCATCCATAGAAGCCTTTAAAGATAGAAAATATATAATAAATTTTCTATGGAAATTGACATGCTTTGATCAAGTCTTATGTAAGGAAAAAAATTCAGCAGCCATACAATATACAAAATGTTATGTTCCAGTAAAATTCTATTTATGTACATATTTTTATTCCCAACCATTTAGAAATGTAAAAACCACTCAGGCCACACAAAAACAAATTGTAGGTCAGATTCGGCCCATGTGTCAAGTTTGCTAACTCCTGCTTTGAATGAAAAGTTAAACAGTAACAAACAACAAAATAACATAAGATGCTGCATTTAAACAAATACATTTTAAAGTAAAAAGTTTCATACAATCACTTCACGTATTATGTCTATAATTTATACATACCGGTATTTAAAATTACAATACCTTTTCTCTGGTATCACTTTTAACTTGCTCATCTTGAATTACTTCATTTCACCATTGCAGATAATCTAAAAAAGAAAAAAATAATGATATTAAACACACAATTCTGTTTTCTATGTATTAGATGCCATAAAAGTCATACAACTGATAGTTTTTATTATGGGCAACACAAGATAAGACTGGAAACCCCAGGACGATGTTTGAGTTTCACGTGCTTCTGGCATGTCACTTCAAAGTGCAAAGTGTGCCTATTAAATCACTTAAAATCAGTCAGTAAAAGGTCATCAAAATTCCAAGTGCTACAAAAGTGTAAAAACATAATTTATACTATAGAGCCAAGATTTCTTTTGAGACAATTCAAATTATCCTTCCTGTTCTAATACTCCACCTTAAAATATTCAAACCAATCCTATGATTAGTGTATTGTCCACCATTTACACAGCAGTCAAATACTGGTAAATATGTATGAACATTTCTGTATGAAAACATTTTAATTAACAACAAATCATTTAGACAGAGCAAAATCTTCTCAAAAATCTCTCATCTCAATATATTTATGCATATTTTCCTTCAACCAACAGAGGTTTCATCTTTGGAATGTACATATTATATATTTTAAAACCTTACATCTTTTTTAATATAAGGGATCTAAAATACGAGTCGGTTACACAGATGTTGCAAGGCTAGCAAGCCTAGGGAGGCTCAAGATAAACAGCTGCAGAAGCAGTTACCACCCTGGGCTAGGAGGGCAAGAGGGAAAAGAAATTTAAAAGAAAAGAGATTTAAAACCCTAACTCTCTATTCACAATTTTTATAATTTTTCAGATTTATTTTACAACTATTCACCCAAAAAAAAACCCCGGGTTTTTTTTTATTTTCCCTTTTGGTTGTTTTTTTTTTTGCTTTTGGTTGCCCATTTTTTTGGCTTTTTTAACCAGGTGTTTTAAAACTTCTTGCCATTTCACCAGTTTCCTTCTTTTTGCATTTTTTATTATTGTTTTTTTTAAGGGAAACCAACCTTGCTTCCCAAAAAAGGGGCTTTCAATTTTTTTAATATAATAGATTTAGAAGATATAGATATTCTGGGTGTTGTACTACAGTAACAAAGAACTTCTCATTTAACTAAATAAACATGACCTTTTTCTTTTTTAAACTCAATTGTAATAAAGGAAACATATTTAGGATGATCTACAAAAATTACAAAAAAAATATTTAGGATTATCTACAAAAATTACAATTAAAAATTGCTGTTTTTAAAGTAGATAAGAAATTTTTAAATGCTAACTACTCCTTCTTTTAACTGACTTTTTTAATGCCCACAAAGTCAAAGTAACTTTTTCTGATTTCCAAATTAATTAAGAATCATTATACATCGAAAGGTGGGGGGATCTTACATGTTTTCAAAAGCATCATTGCTGCCATAAACAGAATTAAGCTATCTGGTTAAGTACTATGATTTTCTCTAAAACTACATTAACAGCAAGCCCATCTCACAAGGTGAAGGGCCTCGTCTCGCCTGTCTGGGACGCCCAGCGGAAAGGGACCAGTGATGCTGACACAGGCGAGCATACTGAAGCAGGACGAGGCTCTCAGACACCAGCCATCACCTCCAGATCTGCTCAGAGGGCTGCTTGAGAGACAGACAGTTAAAGAGGTTGCAGAATCTAGGTCAAACTATACGTCTAAGCTTACTGAGAGAATATTCGGTTGCTGGCACTGGATGGGTTCCCCCAAGGACACGGAAGGATGTTGCTTGGGGATTAAACTCTGTTTACCGATCCTCTGAATTCTGATGCTCCCCTGAATATTGAAGCTGCAGAACAAAACATCATCTGTGGGACAAGGAGGTCTTGGGTAATAACGTCGAAGTCTACATGAAGAATTATGACAGATGACAGCAGGAGAAAGCTGCAGGCCCACAGACTGTCTTGTAAGTTTGTCTCCAACTTAAGTCAAAGGGAAACCCTCCTCCCCAGTCCTCAAGCTTCCTCTTTGTCCCTCTGGGTCATCCAAGTCCTGTGACCACGTTAGCCTGAGGAAGAACCTCTTTACAGCTGCTCATCATAGATGGAGCATTCTACATATATACAGTAAAACAAACAACCAAACAAAAGTGTCTGAAGTTCTAAACAGTTGCCTCCTTAACCTTAACATATTTCCTTTTCTGAAACTGTACTAAATACACTGCTGCTGAGATTCCTGAGAAGTTGTGATGAACTCAGATTTGAGGCTAGAGCTTGCTTCTCACTTATCCCAAATGAAATCAGTTCCCTGTACAAATGACACTAATGGCATACTTAGCACAGCTCATAGATGGCGATAAGAAATCCATTACAAATTGTGGTCGGATGTAAATTCCCAGCCCTTTCCTAGATGTCCTGAAGCTTCTGAGAACGCACAGTCATTCACTGTAAATCTCTAATAAAAGGGCATTTTACTTAATGTAAGTATATCTGGAACAGATTTGTAATTTGTACATTTAATGCTTCAATCATTTGTTTCTATTCTCAGTTAGTTTGTATTTTCCTTGTACAGGGCCAACAGAAGGATGTTAAGTCAAGCAACTATTGAAGAAAAAAACAAAAAGAAATATGAAAGAAGAGGGAAAAGTGCATTTCAGTAAGCAAATACATCCTTTACAGCTATTTTTTCCTGCTGGATCCTGAGGCCAGAGTGCTTCGGAGAAAAGGAGAAGCCTTCTTTTTGCTGTGAAAGTTTGTGTTCATTACAGTATGGTGTAATAGAAAGAGCAGGAACCTAGAAGCAGAAATGCTGCATCTCATGAAGTCTGTGGCTTTGCCAACCAAGAATGACAAAGCAAGACGCTGAGACCTTATGCAAGAAAGGCCGTAAAGTCCAAGATCAAGGTGCCGGCGTTATGGTGTCTGGTGAGAACTGGGTATGTGGTTCATAGACCTCCGTCTTCTCACTGTACTGTGGCATGGGGGAAGGGCCAGGGGAGATCTCTTGGGTGTCTCTTCCTCCATGGGAAGATGGGGGATCCCGTGTTCCCTCTCAGTTTCTCCCAATGGTTACATGACATTTCATGCTAACTCTAGCATAGCATCAAAGCCAGGAATCTGCATTCATACAATATGCACTGGGAAGACCCAGAGGGATCGGGTGGAGAGGGAGGTGGGAGGGGGGACTGGGATGGGGAATACATGTAAATCCATGGCTAATTCATTTCAATGTATGACAAAAACTACTGTAATGATGTAAAGTAATTAACCTCCAACTAATAAAAATAAATGGAAAAAAAAAGTGTTTCTAGTTCTATGTCATTTTATTACTTGTGTAATTTATATAAACTATCACATTTTGCTATATTTTTACAATATTAGAAAGCATGGGTTTCTGTTACTTGACTAACTTTAAAAAGATAATGAAAATCACTGTAATCTCAAAATTCATTCATTTAACATTAATGGCTACACAGCTTCAACTGTGTACGGCCATAGAAAGTACTTTCAAGGAGAGCATTTAATATAACTGATCATGCCTTCTTCTTATAAATACTTTATTATATGGCCATAGTTTGTTTTCTGCCTACTCACTGCCACTCTTTCTTAAATTTCCTTTACTAGAATGCCCCAGGGCTCAGCTCTTGGCCTTTTCAACTCCACTCTCTTCGCTGGTGATCTCGAGTCTCATGACTACTCACATCTTCACTTGGCTCTCTAATAATATCACAGACTTGACATATCCAAAACTAACCACCTGACTTTCCTTTCCATTCACGATGTGCTCTAACCTCAGCTCTCCTCAAATGTATTTAAGAGACAATTCCCTCTCTGCAATTGCTCAGTCCAAAACCTTAGTGTCCTTGACTCCTGTTTTATACCCCACATCCAACCCCTCAGGAATTCCCGACAATTCTACTCTCAAAATATATCAGACTCCAATCCCATCTCCACATCTGTCAGTACACCGTGGTGGGCCACTGCCCCATTCAGCCCCCTTCTATCTGTGGCACCTACAGTCTATTTTCAACACAACATCCTGACTGATCCTTTTAAAAGCCTGGAGAAAAGGGGGGGGGGAATGCAGAAAAATCTTGTCATCACTCTGCTCAAAGTCCAGTGGGTGCTGCCCATTTAAATGACATTAGGGGCCCTAGAGGAGCGCTCCAGCCCTTCTCTCTGTAACCTGCCTACAACTCGTCTTCCTCACGCTGCTCTGGACGCACTGGCGGGGCCTCCGTGCTTTCCACGAGCACGCTGGGCTCACTCTCACCTCACTGTCTTTGCCCAAGTGATTCCTTTGCCTGAAATGTTCTGCCAGACATCCCAATGACTAACCATCTCCCAAACTTCCTTTATCAAGAATCACCTTTTCAAAAAACACAATCACCTTTTCAATAAAGCCATCCTACTTAATGCTGAAAAAGACCTGCAGACCCCAGCATACCCATCACCCTTTACCTCAATCTACTTTTCTCTTTTCCCAGAGCACTTACAGCCTTCTATGACAGGATGATTCAAAAGTAACAGAACACTTTGAAAACTGTACTCAATAACTGATTACATACATATGAACAGGTGTCAAAACAAATTCTTAAAGGACCAGTTTATTTTCATATACTTAAAATCCCCAACATATGCCCCCATGACATCACATATATCAATCCCGTAATCTAATTCATCCCAGACCCTCAACAGCTTATCACTGCTGGTGACTATAAAAGCAACCAAAATAAGTTCCTTTATTTCCTCAAGGTTTTGAGGAAAAGAGGCAGAAACCCAAGTTTTTTGATATAATCACGTAAGTCATGTAGTTTAATACCTAATATCTTGGTGCAACTGTTTTTAATCACTTGTAAACTAGGCAATTTAACTATGTGTACTATTGATATTTATTATTTATTTCTCTCCACTGAACTAAAGTTCCACAAGAGCAGAAATCTTTGTTTTGCTCACTGTCTCCCAGGTACCTCGTACAGTGCCAGCACATTGCAGGTGGTAAATAAATTTCTGAATGAACAAACAAATGCTTTAAGGACTTGTTTTGAGACAACTTTACTACACAAATGAGCAAGAAGTCTTCATTTTAAAAAACTCAGTAACAT